GATTACTTGAATAAGAAAAGAAACAAATAACTGATACTTTCCAGCATTATACTGAAATTTCAATCCTCTAAATAGTGAACTACTCAACAAATATAGGTGAATATCCAAATGTCGAATTCTTATCTCCAAATTGTTTCTTCGGTTTCATAGCTGATTGAACTCGTACACTGACCTTGATTCGAATTGTCAACTTCAAATTCCTCACATCCTTTTCAAGTAGTATCTTACCTTTAAGGTAATAAGAAGATCCAATCTTCCATCATTTCGTAAGCTTTCCTATTCGCTAACTTCCTATTTGCTAATTTTTTTTTCCTCGAAATCTGTTGAGTCTTGTATGACAATAGGTCTTGTGATCATCATAATGCTGCTCTGATCTAATTTCATCATTTCATCATTTCATCATTTCATCATTTCTTCATTTTCAAGTGTAAAGCATCCAGTCATGCACACTGTCTACTATCACTCATAAATGTATTCTTCCAAAATCTTAAGTCGAGAAGTGAACCACAACAAACTCAAGTTCTAACTTTGGTAATAGCAAATATATAACGGACAACAGAGATTCATATGAGCTTAGTCACCAATTTTAATACCAATCTAAGAGACTAAAACTACAAACTTTGTAGAGTAACTAGAAACCATGAATGATAAGTTATCAACTCTTAATTTTCAGTAATATACCTCATTCGAAACTTAATACTAACTAATTCCTCAAATCAGATTCATAATAACGGTAGAGGATTATCAACATACATCTTCTTTTTTTTTTTTTTTCTCTATATCCATATTCTTAAAATATGAATTGAACTAATCCCCACCATTTTCTTCTTGTCACTTTCGAAAGAAAATATATATTCCAGCTAGCTGTAAGCTCTAGGAAATTCTCCATCACCAATCACCATTTGCATTGTCAACTCTCAACTATGCAATATTCACTGTGTGTCAAAGAACCATTAAAATCTTTTTCCTATAGTATTATGTCAGCTAACTTCTTTCAAATATTATGTCATCAATATCAAATTTTCAGACCTCATCTCAAATATGCTCAAGAGAGTTCAACTTAAATTTAATACTCTTCCAAGTATCCTTATAAACTCGTACATGCATTGCTTATATCTCCAAATCCAAAATAATTAAATCCTCTTTCAAGAGTCACACAAAATCACATACTAACAAACTAAAATTTTACAACAATCCATCACTTTATGACATCAATCTGAGACTATTTCATGATTCCCCTGAACAACCGATATTCCAAGTTATCACCATTCTAATCCTTTACTAACCAACAACGTCAACCGCGTAGAAGGATTAAAATCTTACCTTATGTACTTTTCCTACGAGACTGAATTTCACATTACATTGGTAACTTTATTTCTTTAACCTACAAACCCAAACTCCATAGAGATAATTCATGGTACTATAATTCTTCAACTTGAGTCTGTAGTACACAAACGTCATGTATATTCATGCCTAAGGAACCAGATCATCCAATTCATAACTCTCCATTCTTTTCATTAAGCCTCAAAGATATTTGTGGTAAACGAAAGTACATGACACTCATAGCTCCAAATGATTACTTTCCTTAGTCAAGTGAATTTGTAGTTATCAATCAACCATTACTTAAGTTCCAAATCGTAGAGAGGATCAACACTATGCGTCATAATTCATGTACTTAGCAAATATTAGAGACCTTGTCAATACACTGCCACAACCTCTTACTAATCTCAGTCTCCAAGCTTTCAAATACTTGAAAGACACATACTCTTAACCGAACCTTAATGATCAGTAAAATATATTCACAAAAGCTAAGTCACTAACTAAAATTGTCCAAAATATTTTCGAAAATATTTTTTTTTTCTTTAACTTCAACTTTACAATAGCCTCCAATGGACCAGTTGTATCCATGGTTTCCCTTTAACTAGCAGAGGGATGATCAATATAATGTTCATGAAGACTTTCAACAAAACCTTCGTTATATACATACAACTTGTGAGCTCTTTGTCATTTAAATCTGTATGTATAATCCTCTGAATCCTGTAGGTTACTCCCGAAAGTATTATCATCAAGCTCATACAACTTAATGACCATATGCTACCGCATGGATACTTCTTACAACCTTCCATTCCAACCTCATTGTATTTCAATCCAGTAAGTAAAAAGAATTCAGTTTTCTAATCCTTGATTGATCTCTTCCCTTGAAACTTAGAAACATATCGTTATCATTCCCTTAAGAAATATCTCCATTTCCAATTCTCCAATATCATTCTACTAACATCACAATATTCCCACCAAGTAAATGTTCATTTCTTAACTATAATTGTTTTCCACTATCAAAAGACCAAACTCACTGCTCATTTATCCATATAGCACAATAATTCATCTTAGTTAATTCTAGTATCACATACACATCAACTACAAGTGGTACTTCATATAGCTCAATCGTTCACAACATTCAAAATTGTGACGTATTACTTGGCCACTATTTTAATTCTCTTATTCTCACCAACGCCATTCGTAATTTTCATTTTACTCCTCAGATGGCCCAGAACTATATAGGAATGAGAATTTCTCTTGACCATCACTTTTATTTTATCCGAGTAGGAATGTGTCACATCTAAATTCATTTCTTTTCCGAAACTTAATCAAATGAATGATTACTCTAGTAATCCAAACTTCAACTTTAAGAGAGTCACTTGTATCCCAGACAACCCTTAACTCTCATTTCTCCAAGAGGGATCACGTTTGTGAAACCAAGCAAACATGAGTTTGGTAGCCATTGCCATCTACTCAACCTTAAGAGAAAGAATCTGGTTCATAACCACATTCATATAATCCAAAACAATTCACTGAGCAACAAAGAATACCCAACAATATGAGATCATGACTCGGAATTCCGACTAGTTGATTGTATTCCAACTAACATATGATGAAAACAAAGATAAAATTCAAAATAAACAATCAGTGAAATGAAATACGTCACTTTCTAACAACCCTTAACACTACCTGTCGTAACTATAATACTAGTCTCTCATACTAATGCACTCAAAGTGATATCACCAGTCAATTATCAACCTCCATTAATACTTAGTTCCAATTACCAAGGCTCTAATTTCTTTAAGTCCAACTTATCCGAACGACACCACAGCTTTATCCAAGGTTGTCTAATCCCTATGCTCTGATACCATTCTGTCACGCTCCGGACCTGAGGTAAGTGGAAAATTCGATCCCGAGTCCAAAACGCAAACTAAAAACTAAATGAATAAAATAAAACGGAAACGGGTTGGAAAATAAAATTCTTCTTATTTAAAATAACTCAATAATTCTTTACAAGGCTAAATAAATAAATACAAATTCGAGCCTCACATATATTTCGTCTCATCACGTCTACCCTTTTGACAGTTTAGTTAGTAAACCTGCATAACAATAAAGGGGTGAGCTTCAACAGCTCAATAGGGACATAACCTTACCACAGTAAAATTGACAATACTAAATTACGTGTTATAAAATCATGTAATCAAGTACCAAATCATTCTCGATAACAATGCATAAATGCAATGCAATACTCTTCATCTCTGCCCATTAATTCATATAATAAAACATGTGGACCTGCACGTCCTATACCGTGCATTTTACCTTTGCAGTGGTGGCTCAAATTTTTTAATATACAAATTAACCCACTGTAACTCAATCATCCCAATTTCCCCTTTTGTTAGTCATCTTGCCTAAACTCTTCGTCGCCAATCCCGAATTACCCTTAAAGAATCTATGCACTGTGAGCTCGCCTGAGACCTCGTATATTGCTCAAATTTAATATCTATGTGTGTAAGCAACTATTCTTAGCATTTGCAAATAAGAAAGGTGCAACTATTTATATTTAAAAAATAGTTAGGAGCACATAAATTGACATGTACTTTTATAAAATTCGAGAAATTCATCTGGGTGGTCAAGACATTTACTACAACTGAGAACAAAAGAAGCTCCCACAATAGAGTTGCACACTTCAATGCAGAATGGTTGGTGATATACGCCAAACTAACATATACAATTACAAAAAAAAAAATGGAAACTAAACAAGGCTGTAGTTCCAATTAAGAATGCATTACATTATTTGTCGATGTTTACCAATTACATCAATTACTAGGGCCGGTTCTTGATTTTGTTCTGAAACTTAGTACTACTTAAAAGATCCCTAATCTTTTATTGAATAGACCTTTCCATGCACGTCTTGCAATACAAGAAGTTTTAGGGACTAATTAAATAGCGAAAATAAGGCTCAAAAGGGATCAATCAAAATGCCTTAATTGTACCAACTAATGGAGTTATTTAAAGGGTTTATAATCATATTTTATAATACTAATCATTGATCGTCTCATTAAAGAAGAAGAGGACGTGAAACCGACTAAACACAACACAACACTGTCGTGAACATGAGCTGCTTGTTGGTCATGATAACAGTATATAATCTATGGGGGTGTTTAGATTATGAATTAGGTTTCCTCTTTAACCGAATTTACAGAACGATGTGCAACTGTAGTTTACAGTCTGACAATATAACTTATCAAATATCTAACAAATCACTCTGATTTCTAAATTGTAGCTTCCTTCTCAATCTCGCAATAATCTGTACCTTTATCTATGTGCACGTTTTTGTTTCCCCACTATGAATCAAAAAGGGTTAATTACACAAAACTATCTCAACTATGGGTTGACTCACAATCTCATGCCTCATGTTTTAAAAATTACAATGTCATACATTATCTTACGAATTTGTTGCAATGTTAGACCTTCGTCAATTTTCTGTCAATTTCTCTATTAAATGCAGGCGTGACTTGAGAAAGAGCCCACTTCTTAGTCCAACTAGATTAAAAAATTAATTAAATATTAAAATTAAATAATAAATCATTTAAGTATATTTATTTTAAAATGTGAGACCCACCTTACAAACCCTTCACCCTCGCCAAATTAACCAAGCACTCCCCTTTTCATCCTCACCAAATTACTCTCTGTAACCAAACACTCCCCACAATCTCCATGCCCATTTCAAACAAAAAAACCCAATTCCCCCCAAACCCTAACTCTAAATTTGAAATTCTTAGCTTTAATCGTCCCCACACAAGGTCCACACCACCGCCGCCATCGCCCACGACCTCAGTTTCCGCCTTGCCCACAGCCTCCGCTAAGCAGCCCCATCCTCTGCCGCCAACCAGGAAAAGTGGTACGCGATGAGGAGGGGCCAGCTGAAGTCGAGCCAGTGGGAAGAGGTGGCAATGACCATGGCAGTTAAGTGCGGCTACAAGTACGGCGAGCCGTCAAAATTCGCCACGCAGTGCCGCCACAGGATGGAGAAGCTCTGGTAGCGTCACCACGCCGCGAAGAAGCACCTCGGCCAGAGAACCAAGTCCGAAGTCCGACGGCGGCAGCAGAGTTAAAGAGAGGGTGAGAGGCGGTGGAGAAGTAGAGGATCAGCACGATCCTGCAGTCACAGCAGAAGATTGTTGACTCCATTGCGATGGAGAAGTAGAGTCCGACGGCGGCAGCCTCCGCTAAGTACCATTTTTGTCACAAAAAATCGAAACGAAAAAATCGATTAACGACGATCGCTTTTTTACCTAAAACTATTGGCATCTCCGTCGTGTTCTGATTTTCCTCCGAATCGGAGAAGAAAGGCAACCAAATTCCCGTTGTACGTCGTCGTGTTCTAAGCGTCGAAATCTTGGTCCTCCGAATTCGTGGTTTTCTGATTCTTCTCGGCGCTCCTCAAGCGTACGGCAGCCTGAGCACGCGGCACTCTCGATTGATTCCATGGTCTGATCTTCCGCGAATCGCAATCCGAAGGTGGCGATGGCGTCGGCGCAGAGCCAATCAGCGAATTTGGATCTCTTCGATGCGTATTTCCGACGTGCCGATTTGGACCGCGATGGCCAGATTAGTGGCAATGAAGCCGTTGCTTTCTTCCAGGGCTCCGGTCTCCCCAAACAGGTCCTTGCGCAGGTACTCTCTATATATATGTATATGCTTGTGATTTATGTATAATTGGACGTGTATTATATTTGTGTAATAATAGTGGTTGATCGGGATTTGATGCTGGTGGAAATGTGTTCCGAATGAGATTGATTTTGAATTTTCAGTCTAATTGTAGTTGAAGCGGTAAATGTGAGCTCGGGATGTCTTAATTCTCTTATCTAAGTTGAGATTTTTATTTCGTGTTAGTATAAATGCGGAATTGATGAAGGATTTATAGTTAGTGAGATTGAGAGAGTTATGTTATCAGGTCATTAATTTACTTTCTGGTGTAGCCGTTCGACCTGAGGTGGTAAGCAGACTTTAGAAATGTGTTATATGACCCAAGGAATGACCAAGTATTGTGTATTACATTACAATTGTGTAGTAGTGAAAACCTGCAGCATAAGATGACTATGGAATAATTAGGATTGTCGCATACAGGGTAAGTGTTCTTGGGTCATGATCGTATCGACGAATGGGTTCTTGAAGCAGTATGCTCGTTTTGCTGAAGGAACTTCCGTATTATGTTAAATATTGCTTATATGAATGCACTTTCTCATTATCTTTTTGTAACAGAAGTTTGCATCTGTTCTGTTTATATTGGTTGCTTATATTAATTGGCAGACATGGGCACATGCAGACCAGAGGCAGACTGGTTTCCTTGGTCGGGCAGATTTTATACTACAGTTAGTGAGGCCAATCAGCAGACACCCAGAGTACCAGAATTGGAGAAACGTCATGTAAATCAACCGAGTACAGAGGAGGTTAACTCACTGAACTCAAGTTCAAACAAGCAACCGAAGCTGATAAAAAGGTACTAGAACTCTAATGTTTCCCCAATTTTTTCATCTTCAACAGCAGAGTTATGTGTGCATGTTACTTCCTGATAAGTTTCAAATCATAACAAATATGCCAAAGACTTGGAGAAAGAAATTTTGGATGCTAGAGAGAATTGAATATTTCCGGGTTAAATGCAGTTCAGCCATCGAACTTGTAATGTATCGTTTGTATTTCATTTCCTTGTGTATGCATCTCACTTTTTCTTCATTCTTTTTTTTTTCTTTAGCTTGTAGCGTGACGTATAATTTTTCTCCTTAATTTTGGAATGTTCCTAGTCCTAGTGAAGCGAAGACCCCTATAGTTTTATCATTGTTACAAAATTGATGATTGTATTATTAAATTGGGGCTATGCTTTTTTTTTTTTTTTCAGCCTTAATTTGCTGTAATTTTTTACCCTCTCTAACAAAATTTGTTGCGCTGATCTTTGTTTGGTTCAAACAAGAACATTGAGTTTGCCGGTGTTAGTCCAATCGGGCCATTCATATTTTTTGCTCATTGTAGTTTAGCCATCAAACTATCGCGTATATTTGTAGTATCAAATATCCAAACTATTGCGCTTGGTTGTGAGATTTTTACTTTGCCTTATCAATTAATGTCTAATGATATAAAAGCAAATTTCAAGATGCTGCTGGACTTGTAAATCAAATTTTAAAAGATAACAAATAGGATATTACACACTTGTCTATAACTTGCGCTTTATAATGTATAAAGTATAAACAATACTAAAATACTAAAAGCCTTGCCTATTTGTCATCTTATTTCTTGGACAGACAAGTGAGCTCTCAAAGTACAAAATTTGCCGTAAAGTCTTTCCTAATTCTATTGGATAACGATGCTTAAGATTGTTGGATTACAAGTCCGAATCACTTTCACTTGTTTCATACTCATTAGGTCTTTTAACATATTTCAACATGCTTTTTGAGATACATGAAAACATATTGCAACCGTCTAGCTCAATATTTTCGAGAGCGGGGAGAAATTCAATTGATGATGTGTATAGCTGCTCAACCGATGTTCTGCTTATAATTAAGGACTTCAAATTTTCCATTGGCTCCAAGATCTCTGGGAAGTTTCGTATACCACACCTAGATATGTTGAGTTCCTCAAGACATTTCAACTTACAAATGCTCTTTGGGATACTTGACAGCCTATAGCAACCTTTTAGTTGAATTATTTTGAGACCAGGGAGAAACTCGATTGATGATGGTAGCTCTTTAACCGCTATTCCTCTTAAATATAAGAACTTCAAATGTTCCATTGGCTCCAAGATCTCTGGGAAGTTTTCAAGTTTAGAGCACCTAGAGAGATCAAGTTCCTCGAGATATTTCAACTTACAAATGTCGTTCGGTAGACTCACGAGTCTCCCGCAACCAACCAATGATAATTTAGTTATATCCCGGGGAAGCTCAGAAAACTCGCCTAGAGATGTGCAGCCATCTAGATTAAAACTATCAGAGGCTTTCAGCTTACAACTGTTGCTTGGAAGTTTCTCAAGGTCTCTGCAAGCACTTATATTCAAGTAAGAAATATTTTCGTTAGACCAAACTCATTCAGGCAACTCCTTTATAACAGTGCCTTGTAAATCTAAGTATTGAATACTTCCTGGCATCTCTGGAAGATACTTGAGACTCATGCAGTATCCCAGATCAAGATGAGTAAGCTTGTCAAGATGTTGAAAATACGAAGGAATTTCAACCAAACTAAAACAACAATTGAGATTTATGTTCACAATTTTTAGACTCCCAGAGAGATTTGGAACTTCAGTTAGATTTGTACAGCACGACAGATTGATAACTTGTAAGTTGACAAGTATCTGCAACAAATGAAATAGAAATAGAAAGAATTAATATAATTTCTACACTTGAATTTATACAAGAATTAAAATAGGCATATAATATAATATACCTGCTCTTCTTTCCAAAGCTCCTTAGTAGCTTTGCCAAATGGCATATGAAGCTCAACTAGATTTTCCGGACAAAAATTTGACGGCAAAGATTCCAGTGGATATACCCACCATTCAAGATAACAAAGAGAATCAGGAAGGTCTAGAGAAGCGTTCAATGTGGAGCCACCACAGACAATCAGCAATCTTAGGTTAGACATCACTTTGAAGTCTGCACGTTTCAATGGTCGCACTGCAATGTAATACCAATTAAGGGATATGGCTTCAACATTTGGAGTTTCCTAACAACAAGAAGAAAGTTTAAATGTGAATATAAACATTTGGAAAAAAAGTATTTCTGATGGTAACGATGTACAAGTGTCTTAGTCTATTACATATCCAAGATATTTGGTTCATATTCCAAAGACTTCCTAACACAATAAAAATTCAATCAACTTCATCTTCATCTTTTAACAATCTAACTTCTTTCTTATAAATTAGTTTTACTTTGTTCTGTTATCATCTAAAGTTTGCAATTTTTTTTCCTAAAGAAAAGAAAAGAAAAAAAATTGAATGCATTTGGCTCTTACCATGTTACTCTTCAATACACGATAGGCATCCTCATTATTGAACAACCTATTCCGTTTACAAGGATCTTTAATACATTGTTCCTGAACAATTGTCCTTCCCATTTCTTGCATCAAATCGTGCATCTCTATGGTTTCCTTTTCCCATTTTGAATCAATTGATATGAGAGACATATCAATGAGAATTCTAATTCCGGCTGTCGCAAAAAATCCACGAACATCTAACGTCCGTTTTACCCTATCCATAGACCACCCTTTAAAAAAACATGCTATATCCAGAAATATCTCCTTCTCATTCATTTCCAATCTATCATAACTTATTCTCAACACTTTCTGGATATTTTCACTGGGATATCGTTTCAGTTTGTTGAACTCATCTTCCCAGTCTTCTTTGCTCTTGCAATTGAAGAACAATGACCCCAGAACTGTAAGAGCTAGAGGAACGCCTCTGGCATATTGCACAACATTTTCTGCCGACTCCTTATAATCTGTTCTACGAGTACTGTTATTCTTGAAAGCACGCGAACAGAAGAGCTGAAGAGCGTCATCTGGTTTTAATACCTCAACCTCGTAGATATTACCCTCTTCAACAGTTTGCCCAAGTGTACCTCTATCTCTACTTGTGATAATGATTCTACTTCCAGTGCCATACAGAAGATGATCGCCAGCTAAACATTCCAATTGCATTGAATCACTCACATCATCAAGAACAATGAGGACCTTTGTGCGACTGAGCCTTTCTCGAACATAAGTTGATCCTATGGATGAACTTTCTTCCTTTAATATCTCCTTAACAAGTGTTTTTTGCAACTCTTCTAGCCCATCTTTTTGTTCTCTCTCCCTAACATTTCCAAAAAAACAGGAGGCATCGAATTTAGAAGAGAGTCTGTGAAACACAATTTCAGCAAGGGTGGTCTTGCCAATACCACCCATGCCCCAAATACCTACAGTGATGCAACCATCCGGTGAATGAATGCTTAATAGCGATTCGATCTTCTTAATGTGGCCTTCAATTCCAACAAAGCCCTTTAAATCGTAGGATGATTCACGACACAATTGGGTCCAAATATGATTGACAACTTTCTGAATTAGATCTGCCTCCGTCCTGACGTATAGATGTATATGATTAGGTAGAAAAGCAATAGTTAGTCTTAAATACGTTTTACCAAATCTTAGCTCAAATCAAATTGTCACACGTTTAAAGAAAATTTATAACTTTCGGCAAGTTAAAGAATGAGTTGGTTACCCGGATTTGTTTGAATGATCAAACCCAGATAGACTGGCTGCAGTCGTCAAAGCATCCCTCCACTCGCGCACCTTGGTGATACTGTTATCAAAACGTTTTTCAAGTTGAGCAAATGCATCTGCATAACTGCCGTGTTGTTTTCGTAAATCAGATGGATTGATGTCATAGAATACGGGTATAACCATCCGGCCTTCTCTGTTGTTGCATTTGAGTATATGCACAAGCTCATCCAAACACCATGTGGAAGAAGCATAGTTTTGTGAGAAAATGATCACCGAAATGGTGGATTTCTCGATTGCTTCTAGAAGGGCAGGTCCGATTTCTTCTCCTCTCTGAAGTCTGTTATCGATGTAGGTTTCAATTTTCTTCTGAAGTAGGGCAGCATGAAGATGGCTGGTAAAACCGATGCGGGTGTCGTCACCTCTGAAACTGATAAACACATCATACTTTTGTCGACGTGGGGGGATATCAGCATCCTCGTCATCAGCAACAGCAGCACAATCAGCTACAGCAGAATCAACAGCAGAAGAGGAAGAAGAAGAAAATGTCAAAAACCTGCAGCACATGTAGAACAGAGTTCCGATGGCGATGGCGATGGCGATGGCGATGACGATGATGTTGAAAACTTGAATGAACGCAATCAACTCCATCTCTCAATTTCTTGGATCAGAGAGCAGAAAGAGAATCTGAACTAGAGTCGCAGCTGAGACTAGATTAGAGTTTACTACAGAAAAATTGAAATTGTAGTCTGCACAAACTTACAAAGGCTCCATGGAGGACAAAAATTGAAAATTAAATATGCTTAATTAAAAGAAAAGCATTTTATGTAAAGCATCTTTCAATAAAATGTACGCATATTCCAAGAAAGGCATCAGAGATTAAACAATAATAAACATAAAAAATATAAAGCCGAAATTGGGCACGCTTTCAGCGCAGAAACAAACTGCATTCAAACGGAAGAAAGGCTATAGTATCCCTAGTGGAGGACCTAAAAGAAAGAGAGAGAGAGAGAGAGAGAGGTGGAATTTCCTCCTCATGGAGGAGGTTTGCTAGAATGCTAGAATGCTAGTGCTAGTGGAGGACAATGGTAAATGGTCATAAATGATTGTGAATTTTCAGAATTTTTACTTCGTGTTGGTGATAGGAATGAAGATGTTATTATGGATGATCTGGTAAAACTACCTGAATGCATGGTGATACCATGGGAGAGTGAGCATTCCATTAATCAATTAATTGTCAAAATCTTCCCTGACTTAGAGGATCATATAAATGATGCAACCTACATGGTGGAAAGGGCAGTGGTAACTCCTACAAATGAAGACGTTGATATGTTGAATGAAAAGATAATCAATATGTTTCCGGGTTTAGAAGAGACAATGTATTCATTTGATTCAGTTGAGGATGACGCAAGGAATTTGTATCAGCCAGAGTTCTTGAATTCAATTTCACTTGGTGGTTTGCCTCCGCACAAGTTAACTCTGAAAAGAGGTGCTCCAATCATGCTTTTAAGAAATATTGATCCGCAATTGGGATTGTGTAATGGTACAAGATTATTATGTCGTGGTTCTTACCGAAATCTTATTGATGCTGAAATTCTAACTGGACAATTTGCCGGATCCAGAGTTTTCTTACCAAGAATCCCTCTCAAAAGTACTGATACTGCTGAGCTTCCATTTGAACTTACAAGAAAGCAATTTCCAGTGAAACTAAGTTTCTCTATCACTATAAACAAATCTCAAGGTCAGACAATACCACATGTAGGCGTTTACCTTCCAGATCATGTCTTCAGCCATGGACAATTATATGTGGCTTTATCGAGGGGGGTCTCAAAGTCAACCACAACCGTGTTAGTAAAAAGTGGCTCCATAGTAGGCCAACAAGGTGTATTTACACGAAATGTAGTATACAAAGAAGTCTTGCTTCATTCCAGCTAATTATGGTGATTCCTAATAGGTAACAGCTTTATTAACGATAACCTTTCAGTATGCATTTCTCACTTATCAATTAACTCTTTTTATTTGATTTTAAATTTTCTCACTATCGTTTGTAGATTGACAATGAAAATTTGAAGCATCAATCATGAACAAATGGGTGGAAATTGCAACATTGATGTCAATATGTAAACTTTCTTTAAAAAAAAAACAGTGACATATACACTCTATGAGTATTGTGAATAATGTACATATTGTTATGTAGGATTTATATTTTGACATTTAAATTGTTTTGTATTTTGCTACGAGTACTTACTGTTTTCATCTACTATTTTTTTTTTATTTACATATACTTGCTATCGTTCATAGGCTTTAGGTAGGAACTTGCATCTAAAATCGTATGTTGTTTGATAAGTGCATGAATAACATTTAAATCATTACTTTACACAAAGTAAAAATGAAAAACATGATAACTTTTTAGGACGTGCATGATAAAAAAAAGGTTCCTCTTTGCACAATACATTTAAAGTATATCTTGACAATTACAATGGGAAAAACTAACACAATACACCTTTAGGAGCGCGTAGCGCCCGTGATGCAAAAATGCCTCTCGCACGCACGTTAGTGCGTGCAGAGAGGCTAGTGTATATAAAGTGAGAGTCCCAGTTTGGTGAAGCATTCGATAATCCCTAAAATACCCTTACTTAATGACTCTGCGTAAATCAAGGATTTAGTACCAAAAGAAGGATAAAGAGGTAATAACATTAACTATTTGAAACCTAATGGAAAGTGAAAAGGAAGAGACAGTTGCCAGTTCAGTTATTAGTCCTACTCCAACTTCCCACGATCGAAACCAAAGAACAGTTTGACGATTCCCACGACAAAGACGAAACCAAAGAGCAGTTCAACGATTCCCATGATCTGAGTTTAGTTGAAGGTTCAACAACAACTGCCCACATACCACCGCTATATACAGATGAATATTCGAAAAGAGCCCAATTTTCGAAACCAGACTTCGGGACGTCGTCTTGGAGCCCATCCTCTTCACACCTTCGATCCCGGACGCCCACTTTCAAGAGCCCAATCTCCTGGTTGTTGCTCATCTTCCCTTCTCTCTTCCGATCGCCATATTTAAGTAAGTTTTCCATTTTGTACAAATCTCTAACCCTAACTTTCCTTTCCATTTAGCTTTCGATTTCAACCTTGGATTCAAGATTTTTTCCAATTGCAGTTTTTTTATTTGGTCCCATCATCTGCACACTTTTTTTTTTTTTTCCATCTTTCCTTATGTGTCCTTAGTAGCTTCCATCACTCTTGCTCTCTCAAAGATTGCATTGAGGCAGAACACGTACTCACTCAAAGACAATCTGGTAAGCATTTTCTTTTTATGTGATACAGTCTTAGATTTTTTGTATTTTCCTTGGTTCTTGGGGGGTTTGTTCAAGTTCTCGAGGGATTTCAAGTTTTTGGGTTGATGATTGAATTTGGAGCTTAATGTGTTTTTTTGTGGTCTTTTTTATAGAGGTAATTTCTTGGTGGGTTTTGTGTTTACTGTAGTCAATTTTGGATTTTGTAGATTGAGACAGCAAGACTGAAACTCGAAGACGAACAAGCAGAGGAGGAGGTCGGTGAAGAAAAGAGAAGCAAAAGTAAAAGGAAAAAAACGTGAGTTATTTTTTATTATTCTCCCTTTTGAAGAGCAATTTTTGGATTTTCTTTAATTTGTGTCAATCTCCATCTCTGTTCTTCCACTTCCTTTCCACCTCTGTTTGGTACTTTTTAATTTAAAAATGTATCTGTAAATTTTTTTCTGAATTGTATTTGCTTTCTGTAGTGTTTCGAATCTTCTGATTGCATCAGAAATGAATTAATATCCGCAAATTTGATTTTTCATTTGCTGGCTTTTTCTGGTAATGGGTTTTATTCATGAACATTCTCATTGCTGCAAATTTGATTAATTGTTTTTTGAACCTTTGGATGTTACCAAGATTTGATTTTTGCTAAAGGATCTGTCTAATTACATTGGTTTGTGTTTTTTTTTGGGTTGATCTTTCTTTTAATTTAATCATCTTGAAATAAAATTGGAATAACTGCATGTTTTCATTTCACAGTTTACTTTTAAGTTTTTGGATAGATTGACTTGACCTTCACATTTCTGTGAATTTTTGCGTTGGTTGGTATCCTTTCTTCCTTATCATACTAGACAAAGGGTGATGAACAAAAAGATGGTTGCATTCCGAACAAATGGGGGGAAGTTGTGTCTAAAATTACCTCTCAATATGTTTCCTTATTATTGAAGTCATGGTATTATATAGCTGCAGTTGGTTAGGTGCTTACGATCTTTTGCAGGAAACATGATAATAACTTAACTGATTTACTTCAAATGTATAAATTGTCTGTACCAATACTTGATGTGTGATAAAGTAAATATTGTTATGGAGGCTTTATATTTTGACTTTTAAGTTCTTTTGTGTTTTGGTACCAATACTTGATGTTTCAGTTGGCACCTCAGTCCTCCCCCTGAATTATTTCAGTTGACACCTCAGTCCTCCCCCTTTTTTTTATCCTACAACTTACTGTGTCGTCATGTTTTCTTTTTTCAGGCTCTTTCAATTTTTATAAAACTGATTCAAGTTATTAAAACAAATACAATTCATGTTTTGTTATGGTTTTACATACTCATTGGTTGCAGACCTATTCGTCGGAGATCGAAGAAAAGGAAAGGTGGGAAAGTCCATTCTTGCCGTAGAGCTCATGTTGGCAGTGAACCTTGAAGAAAACGAAAGGTGAGAATAGCAGAAGAGTTGGCTTTTTTCTTTTAGCACCGACTTATTTCCAAAAATTCCCCTAACCTTAATTAGCATTGGCACTTTCAAAACTTTCGGAATGTGTTTGCATTTTTTTAATGGCCTCCTATGTTATACATGCAAATAGTTATAGTTATCAGAACATCTATCTGATGTTTTACCTCATCCAACAGCTTAATTAGACTCCCACTGTTTTGGTTAGAAGTTAATTAGAAGAGTCTTCATTCCATCGACATCCTTTCCTTCACAATTTATGCTGAAAATTCATCGCACAATGTAATATGAAACGTTTAGTTGGCATGTTAACTTTCAGAAGCATGAGATGATCAACAATGAATGTGCATGATACCTTTTTTTTATCCTACTGGGTTGTCTTCATCTTCGGTCTCAAAAGCCTTCCTTAACTTTTCTTCATCTAATCTCAAAAGCCCTCCTTGCATGTTTCAGCTTTTTAGTACAGCTTTTATGTTTTGGATTTTTTTTTTTTGGCGGTTTACCACATATTTGGCTGAGTGGAAAAAAAAGTTAGTAATCATTTATGACTTCAGATTCCTTGAATGCTCAATATTTTAGTTGGTGGTGTGCTCTGTGATTTGTGTGATTCAGAGATAGTTGGAATTGATTCCTTGAATATTTTTCACTCTCTTTTTTCCAATTTTGTAATAAAGTGGTGTGCTGTGTGCCTTCTTAGTTCGATAATTAAGCTAAGTACCATTTGGAATCATGCTAAATAATTGATAGAAGCATAAACTAGATCTCATTTGGAATATATTATGAAGATTTATGCATCAATTTTGTTTGCAGACCTATTCGTCAGGCCTCAAAGAAAAGGGAAGGTGGGGAAAGTGTATTCCTGGTAATGAAAAGATAAGGGAGAGCCAGTGACAGATATTGGTGAGGATCCGATCTTTCAATTGTGTATGAATTGTTGCCTTCACTTGGTTTCTTTGAGGACTCAAAATTGTAATATGTACCTGTGTTGTTTTATACATGCGTTAAGTTCCAAATCCAAGTTCAGATGCATCTCTAGGTTCATTTCTTTCATTTTTAGAATCCTCAACTCCAAAGGTTACTGATAGGGAGCAAATAAACACTGATACACGAGTATAACTAGAAGAGGCATGAATGTAACGAAACTCCCAATGTCATATGTACCAGCCTTCTAAAAAACTCCCAATCAAACTATCTTAGTATCACACACTCCATTATAAATGCTTACAATCACAGAGTTTCGTCACATACCCTATTGATATGTTTACACCTTTACGTTTGTAAATGAATATAAATTTCCATTTTCTATTCGCATTTGAAACTGATGCTCAAAACGCTACCCAGTATCGAACTCTATCCCATATTTCATCTATTCCCACTCCCTTATAATCATAAAAAAAAAAAAAAAAATTAAACGAATTATGCTCCAACCAAATGCTTGACTTTTAAATATTTGACAATTATATAATGTCCATTTATAAATTAGAGGCATTCACATTTCCAAGTTTTTAAGTAAATCACTTCCATTAATAGGAGAGGGAAACAGCTGCAACTTGGACATTTGTTTAACGTCAAATAGGTGAAGCATCCTATACATGTTTAAGTAATACCCCTTGACGTTAAACAATTAGAGGCATTCACATTTCCAAATTATTCATTGCTGTTTGAATTTGTCATAATTAAAATCAAGTTCATTATTACCTGGTGCGTGTCCTATAACTTTGACTGAAAACTTATGAATCTGAAAATTTTGATTTAAGGACATTAAATTTTATCAACATGTATTCAGAAATGAAATTACATGTCATATTTTCAGATATTTTTAATCATTTATGTTTTCCCATTTTATCTTCGTTGTTGTTTTAAAGGAAAAATAGTAAAAATTGTATGAGAGATTACTCACATTTGTGCAAATTGGATGGAATATATGCTGCTAAATTCTTCAACGAACATGGCAATATGACAATAAGGCATGCATAACGATAACACCATTATCATAGTAAACGAAATTGATGTGTAGATAAATGTTTTTTCTTCTTCTGTTCATAGGCATCTACGTAGACTTTTTCGTGTTTATGGAATGTAACAGAATTTGTATTCAATTTAGGTTCATTTATTTTTTAATTTTTTAGATAAATTTTTCCATGGAGCGTGGCCAAAGTCGTGCAAGACAATGGCGTCAATCATTGAGTCCTGAAGAACATCAAAGATATCTAGCTCGACGACGTCTAATAACACAAGAAAAAAGACAACAAATTCCAACTCTATATGATGATCATACTATGACATCCCCAGTAACATACAACAAGAAATTCCTGGTATTTATTTCATATTCCTTTTTCTTTAACTCATGCTAATGCAAAAAAAAAAAAAAAATCTAATTTCTAATTTTTCTTTTAACTATGCAACAAGTAGGTCCCAATAATATACAAGAACGGGTTCAGTTGGCTAACTATGATGTTGAGGTCGACCCCAGTAATATAGAACAACAAATTCCTGGTATTTATTTCAATTTCTTTATTTGTATTTGTTTCACACTTAAAAAATTAGGTTATTTTTTAAGAACAAAATTTAGTGACTTGAAATCTCATTGTATTCTTTTCTTCGATACTTTCATATTGATCTCAATGTTGTAGTTATTTTTAGTGGTAGTCTTACGAAATATTAGACTCACAACTATATATATTAAATATTAAAGACAAAATTTTTAACTAATCGTATTATAATGTGGTCTATTTATTAGAACAAATTGAGCATGAAAGCGCGAATTCAAGGGTTTTGTCAGATATCACAAATCATGATGACCAAACTTCTACTAGAATGCGTACTCATATGGGACAGTTGGCACATTCAAATAGGTCACAAATATCTTATGGGATGCTCTCAATTCCTCCCCACAATGGTGAGCTTAGTATATAATTTTATCTGTATATAGATATGTGATTAGTTACAAAGAAAATTCTTATACTGAATGTTGGATATTTATGTAAAAATATCAGAAGAAGAACATGCAAATAGAACCAATTGTCATGTGCGCCAAACCAGAGGAAGAAGAAACCACAATTGTGCTAGAAATTATAATGAGAATCGGGGTATCCTAGGTTGCCAATTATCTGCTCCAACCACATGTCCGTACTGCTATGCACGATTGTTTGCTCGAGAAACTTTGAATATGTGTTGCTTGAAAGGAAGAATTGTTTTACCCCCAATACAATCCCCACCAGAAATGGTTGCTCTTTTCTCTGACCAAACAAATGAGGGTAGACACTTCAGGCAAAATATTCGAGCTTACAATCATGCATTTGCATTCACTTCAATGGGAGTACACGTGGATGAAAGAATTAATATTGGTGGTCGTGGGATTTACACATTTCGTGCTCAAGGTGCATTATATCATAAGATTGGTGGACTTTTACCAAATGAAGGGAACAGACCGCGATTTTTACAAGCTTATATATATGACACTGAGCATGAAGTTGAAAACCGAATGTGTGAAAGTGAAGTTTTAGATAGACGTGTGGTTGAAAAGATACAACATATGTTGAACAACCATAATCCTTTTGTTCATACATTGCGAAGCCTCGGACAACGCCAAGATTTGCCGAATTGCAAGTTGATCCTAAAAGAGCAACCAATAGATCGGCGTCAGTATACTCTACCATCAGCATCACAAGTTGCGGCAATTATAATAGATGGAGATAATGCCACAATTGCAAATGGAAGGGATATCGTGGTGGAGACAATTAGTGGAAGACTTTCTCACGTCCGAGACTATGTTGGATTTTATGATCCCTTACAATATCCACTATTGCTGCCTTACGGTACATATGGATGTGATGTTAACAGTCGTGATGATGGTGGAAGAGCAATAACATGTTGCGACTATTATGCTTATATGTTACAGGTTTGTACTGATAACATAATTTATTTCCCGGTATATATAGATGAATGATGATTCCTATATTAAAAGCAATATATGAAATTTGCTTTTGTAGATACGCCATAATGGATCATCACTTTTGCTTCGAGGTGGACGTCTCTTGCAACAATATGCTGTAGATAACTACATTAAAATTGAATCACAAAAACTTAGAGGGTTGCGTTCTAATCAAGCCACTGTTAGAGCGGATCTCTACAAAGGACTTGAAGACTCTCTAAATGCAGGTCAACACAATGCAGGTATATATATCGTTTCAGTCATCGTTATTTAGAAATATAACTTTGTTTAAAGTGTGTACAATATATATAGCTAATTGAAAATAAAATATTATTAGGTAGCATCGGGCGTAGAATTATTTTACCATCATCATTTGTTGGAAGCCCACGTGACATGTACCAACGATATCAAGACGCAATGACTTTGGTTCAAAGATTCGGAAAGCCAGATCTTTTTATTACCATGACATGTAACCCAAGTTGGGAAGAAATCAAAAGCGAATTACTCGCTGGACAAACTCCACAAGATCGCCCTGACTTACTCACTAGAGTATTTCGTGCAAAACTTGAGCAACTAAAAGAAGACATCATTGAAAAGGGGGTATTGGGCAGTGTTGTTGCTTACGCATACGTTATTGAGTTTCAGAAACGTGGTCTTCCACATGTGCATATGCTGGTTGTATTAGATGAAAATGATAAGATCAATAACCCAGATGAGTATGACCGAATTGTTAGAGCTGAAATACCAAATGAAGATGTAGAGCCTCAACTTTATAATGTGGTGTTAAAGCATATGATTCATGGCCCGTGTGGGATTCATAATCCTCTATCTTCATGTATGAAAAATGGGAGTTGTAAGAGAAAGTTTCCCAAACCATTTGCACCAGTCACCGTTCAAGGGAATGATTCGTATCCAATTTATCAAAGGCGAGGAAATCGATTGCCCGTCTCACTTAATCGACAAGGAAACATAATAGTTGATAATAGTTGGGTCATTCCATATAATCCATGGTTGCTGTTAAGGTATGATTGTCACATCAATGTCGAAATTTGCGCAAGCATAAAAAGTGTCAAGTACTTATATAAGTATGTTTACAAAGGCCCAGACAGAGTGACAGTTGAAGTGCAATCAGACCCTCAATACGATGAAATAAAGCAGTTTCAGGATGCAAGATGGGTTTGCGCACCAGAGGCATTATGGAAAATATTCAAGTTCATTATTAATCGAATTTATCCATCTGTTGAGCGAATGCAAATACATCTTCCTAATATTCACCAAGTTCAGTTTCGTGCCGATGAAAGCATAACAAATATTCTACATGATGAGAGTACAAGAAAGACAATGTTGACTGAATTTTTTACACTTAATCATGTGGATGCAGAAGCGCGACATTATTTATACATGGAGATACCATCACATTACAGATGGATTCAAGCTCAAAGAAAGTGGTCTAAAAGAAAGAATCGTAACAAGGTTATTGGGCGAATATATGCAGTTTCACCTGCTGAAGGCGAAAAATTTTACCTTCGGATTCTTCTTAATCATGTTAGAGGACCAACATCCTTCACAAACTTGAGAACAGTTAATGGGGTTTTGCATCCAACATTTAAGCAGGCAGCAGAACAACGAGGTTTGTTAGAAAGAGATGACAGTATTCGACAATGTTTGTTAGAGGCCTCCACAATTCAGATGCCGTCGGCTTTAAGAAGATTATTCATCACCATATTGGTATATTGTGCACCAATTGGTGTTCGAGGGTTATGGGATGAGTTCTGTCCATTTATGATGGAAGATTATGTTTCCATGACTAACATAACTCCCACACTTGCTACCAACATACTCTTGCGTGAGTTGAACATACTTTTGGTTCAATTTAACAAGAGTATAAACGAGTTTGATTTACCCCAAATGACAAGAGGAAATGAATCAAGTTCAGGAATGACGGGATGTATTGAAGATGAAATATCCATATGTATTCCACAACAAGATCTTGATGCAATTGAACGCTTAAATGATGACCAAAAAAGTGCGTTTAACATAATAATGGGTGCAGTTCAACGATCGGATAATGCAACTTTTTTTGTGGATGGTCCCGGTGGAACTGGAAAAACTTACTTATATCGCGCATTGTTAGCAAGCTTGAGAAGGTTGGGGCACATAGTATTAGCAACAGCATCATCTGGAATAGCAGCTACGATATTGCCTGGTGGGAGGACAGCACATTCTAAATTCAAGATACCACTTAGTCTCGATGCATCATCGATGTGTTCGATCGGTAAACAATCTGATTTAGCAAAGCTAATACAAAAGGCAAAGGCAATTATTTGGGATGAAGCAACAATGACGCATCGTCATGCATTTGAAGCACTCGATCGAACGTTCAGAGACTTAACAGATATTGACTTACCATTTGGGGGGAAGATAATGATATTTGGGGGAGATTTTCGACAAGTTCTTCCTGTTATCCGGAAAGGAACCAAGTCCGAACTAATCCAAGCAAGTGTTGTTAAGGCATCATTTTGGTCACAAGTAAAGATTTTAAAACTCAAACAAAACATGAGATCCATAAATGATTGTGAATTTTCAGAATTTTTACTTCGTGTTGGTGATGGGAATGAAGATGTTATTATGGATGATATGGTAAAACTACCTGAATGCATGGTGATACCATGGGAGAGTGAGCATTCCATTAATCAATTAATTGCCAAAATCTTCCCTGACTTAGAGGATCATATAAATGATGCAACCTACATGGTGGAAAGGGCAGTGGTAACTCCTACAAATGAAGACGTTGATATGTTGAATGAAAAGATAATCAATATGTTTCCGGGTTTAGAAGAGACAATGTATTCATTTGATTCAGTTGAGGATGACGCAAGGAATTTGTATCAGCCAGAGTTCTTGAATTCAATCTCACTTGGTGGTTTGCCTCCGCACAAGTTAACTCTGAAAAGAGGTGCTCCAATCATGCTTTTAAGAAATATTGATCCGCAATTGGGATTGTGTAATGGTACAAGATTATTGTGTCGTGGTTCTTACCGAAATCTTATTGATGCTGAAATTCTAACTGGACAATTTGCCGGATCCAGAGTTTTCTTACCAAGAATCCCTCTCAAAAGTACTGATACTGCTGGGCTTCCATTTGAACTTACAAGAAAGCAATTTCCAGGGAAACTAAGTTTCTCTATCACTATAAACAAATCTCAAGGTCAGACAATACCACATGTAGGCGTTTACCTTCCAGATCATGTCTTCAGCCATGGACAATTATATGTGGCTTTATCGAGGGGGGTCTCAAAGTCAACCACAACCGTGTTAGTAAAAAGTGGCTCCATAGTAGGCCAACAAGGTGTATTTACACGAAATGTAGTATACAAAGAAGTCTTGCTTCATTCCAGCTAATTATGGTGATTCCTAATAGGTAACAGCTTTATTAACGATAACCTTTCAGTATGCATTTCTCACTTATCAATTAACTCTTTTTATTTGATTTTAAATTTTCTCACTATCGTTTGTAGATTGACAATGAAAATTTGAAGCATCAATCATGAACAAATGGGTGGAAATTGCAGCATTGATGTCAATATGTAAACTTTCTTTAAAAAAAAAACAGTGACATATACACTCTATGAGTATTGTGAATAATGTACATATTGTTATGTAGGATTTATATTTTGACATTTAAATTGTTTTGTATTTTGCTACGAGTACTTACTGTTTTCATCTACTATTTTTTTTTTATTTACATATACTTGCTATCGTTCATAGGCTTTAGGTAGGAACTTGCATCTAAAATCGTATGTTGTTTGATAAGTGCATGAATAACATTTAAATCATTACTTTACACAAAGTAAAAATGAAAAACATGATAACTTTTTAGGACGTGCATGATAAAAAAAAAGGTTCCTCTTTGCACAATACATTTAAAGTATATCTTGACAATTACAATGGGAAAAACTAACACAATACACCTTTAGGAGCGCGTAGCGCCCGTGATGCAAAAATGCCTCTCGCACGCACGTTAGTGCGTGCAGAGAGGCTAGTCAGAGATTAAACAAGCGCGTTTCTTTTATTATCCCATATCTGCTCACCTTAACCGCGTCAGAATATTCCGTTAACTTAACAGAATATTCAGTCTTCTTCTCCGGTTAACCTCCAGCACCGTCACCGCCCTCCTTTGCTGTCCGCTGAAAAACTGAAAAATTTTCAAAAATTCATATCTTGCTCATTTCTCAACCATTTTCGACATACCTTATATGGAATTGAAGCTTATGAAGAGTAGAACAAGTTTATACCTTTTAAAATTGCAAAAAGTGGATGAAAATTGATTGAAAATGGCTTGGAAGCTCACGGCGCAAACTTTAATTTATCGAACTCGTGCTTTTTCACATTAGCTTGTCTTCAAACTTGTACTAGGGACCTTGGGGAGTTGTGTGGTGACTTCTAAACCTTCTAAAACCCTGTAACTCGCCCGGAAATTCGTCGGGAAAATTTCGAACCGAGTCGGAGCTTCCGAGTTCGATGTCCAAAACTCACTTGTTCTTGATTCCGTTTATATGGTTGAGTTCATAAGGATGAAAGGAGTACAATGGTGGTAATTTGAACGTTGGTTCGTCGACTTTGGTGATTTGTCTTAGGTTGCAGAGGAGAAGTGAGAGCATCGGTTTGAGGGAGAAGATGAGAGAGAGTGTGTGTGAAGAAGAGAGATGTGGAAAATAATTGAGAGAGATTGAGACAGAAAATAATTGAGAAGAAAAAGGAAAGAGAGAGGCCGCGCGGAAAAGAAACAGAAAATAATTGAGAAGAAAAAGGAAAGAGAGGGGCCACGCGGAAAAGAAAAGGAGAAAACGTGTGGGTCCTCTCTGAGATCAAGACAGAAAATAATTGAGAAGAGCGAGGGAGAAAATAAATTAATAATTGAGAAGAAAAAGGAAAGAGAAAGGAAAGAAAGAGGTCACGCGGAAAAGAAAAGGAGAAAACGTGTGGATCCTCTCTGAATTTTAAATAAAGATCACTAAAGACACGTAAAAATATTCGAAAAACGTTCTATAAAAATATAAAATACAACAAAATAAGGATGGGTGGTCATATACCTTCTCTTTTGTGTAAAATGTACCCGTTATTATTTTATTTGAAATGTACCCAATATATAAAATGTATCACCTTTTTTCCTGTAAAATGTACTAACTTTTTGTACGTACTAAAATGTATCGTATAAAATTATCAATTTTTTGTATGTAAAATATCATTAATATAAATAATAACAAATCATAGGTTTTATTTAAGTATAATTTTTTTTAATATTTTCAACAAATTATGAATTTATTTAAAATCTTATTAATATAAATAACTATAAATATTAATTTTTAATTTAAAAATTATAATAAGCTACGTAGAAATATATTATTGCATTAATTTCAAGGATTTCAGTAAAAAAACCAAACAACAAGGTTTTAATCAAAGAACGTTGATAAATAGGGATCGGATTTAAAATCATCCAAAATAAAAACAAATATGAAACTTCAAACCAGATCACCACCATCGCACCGCAACCATCCCTCTCCTCCTTCTTTCTCTCTCACCGTTCCAATTTGAACTCTGCATTTTGAACTCCTGTGTTTTAGGCGAAACCCACTTCACATTGAATATCCTTAATCCCTAACGACTTTGCTAACGAGACACTGAAACACCGTATCCCCCTCATCACCGGCATCACTAACCGCGACAATGGGTTGACAAAGGTCCCAGTCAAAGATACAAGGGAAAAGGCCTCTCTCACGAGTACATGCGCGACACGTGATTTAGAAGTTTCAGTGATTCAGCCATGGCACTTTGTGAAATTAGGGAAGGAATTGAAGGGATTTAAGAGAAGGAAGCGAAAAAGACAGACACAAAAGAGAGGGGGAAAGATAATTGACAGAGAGAGGGATCGAAAGTTCTTCATGTTTCTTTTTTTTATAAGTCTTTAATAGGTGATTTAACAATGTTTACAATTGAGTTAATGATGGACAGAACATGTGCATCTTTTCATCTTTTCTACTAATCTGATATGTGATCTCAACCTTTGAATCCCCGGAGTAATGTTCAAACGGTGCCAAACCCTAGCAGCTTGTGAACTATTTGACCTTGATCCTACCTTTCGTTAAACCATTACAAAACGAATTGTCATTAGTGAGGGTCAAATGTCGTCTGAAGAGACATTTTGATGGGTATCGGAAATTGTCCCATTGAAAATACTTTTTTTTTTCTTCAGAATAGACGTCAAAAATACTTTATTATCGACACACAAAACTTGTCATCAAAAATGGATTTTCAAAATAGCAAAATTATTTTATTTTTGACATGGAAATGTGGTCGCAAATACTTATATAGTAGTCATAATTACTTTCCAAAAGACAACATATGTTTTTTGCAATGATGTCCCAACCAAACAATTGTGTTAAAAAAAAAATTTCAAACAAAATAATCTATATTTGCTAGAGTGCACAATCGTCGCAATTACAATTTTCGACCCTAAAATACTACTCCAGTATGTCGCAAATATTATTTTCTATACAATAGGGTTATCATTAAGACAGCTTATCGAAAAAGAAAAAAAATATAATAAAAAAAGGCACTTCCAATGGGAATTGTGGTAAAAAATGAATGCTTTCTAGTAAAAATTCCACTGAGCATTGTTCAAATAATATTTTGTATTATCATTAATAAAACAAATATATATAAGATCAATGTGGTAAGGCCAATACATTCATTACAAACCTAAGATATGTGTTTGAACATACTAACACTAGTCCTCAAACTCTGAAATGCAAACTTGAATTGTTTCGAAGACGTGTTGATAAAAACATCTTCTTTTATACATACAACGCATGTAGCTCCTTCATCACTCCTCATATATCTCACTAAGCCAAAACCACATAACCACAAGTTTAATTAATTATTATACAAATATCAGAAGAAATCAAAGCATACATATGTGTGTATGGGTGAAAACAAATATCATCAAATTAAAGATGATAGGGTGCAACCAGGCCTGTCCTTGTCTATGGAATGCATCAGTTTTGGATCACAATTCTAGCACAATGAGATACACTTGTTGTAAACAAAGGAATTGGATCATCTCCGAGGCAAAACTTTGGGATCCTGCTGATCCATTAACACGGGCTATTAAATTTTGATCCAACAATTACAAACAGGATACCCCTCTAAATTTACCTAAATTTATAATACTTATAGCTGTTGGATCAAAATCCAACGGTCCGTGTTATTGGATCAGGAGGATCCTGAGGATTTTCCGCGGAGAGAATCCAATTCTGTAAACAAAAGCAAAGGCATGTTAAAATTTTTTGCATATTATTGTACTAGTAAGGGAGGAGGATTCTTTTCCCTCCTAATCTCTTTTTTCTTTCCTCCCCTCTATTTGAATGATTATGATTAAGTCACGTTAACATCTTATATTGATTGTTTATAAAAATAATAAGATAAAAAGTAAAATGAGAGAAAAAGGAGGAAAAAAATAGAAATATGAAAAGAGAAAATCCTACTTCACTAGTGAAACCTGAAAACCAGTGAAGAGAAGCGGCATCGTCCCATGGGCCCCCATGTGCATAGTACTGTCAAATGTTTCTATCGTTAGTCATCATTGTGTATTCTCCACCATGCGTAGTGGAAAATGACAGCTCCTTTCCCTATGTCTGAGCTCTCACAGCTATCAAAGTACGTTGTGTAGAGAGAGAGAGGAAGAGGGAGAGAGGGGACTTCTCATTCATGGGATTTTTGAATATGACCGACATATAAGATGCTACATTAACTATCATTATATAAATGATGAGATATATATGTTAAAAAATTAATAATTAAAAAATAAAATTTTTTATTATTTATATAAAAATACATAATGTACTATCCGTATTTCTATCACGATAAAAAATTTCTCCTCGTTCACGAGGGGCTTGGTTGGGCACCAGGAAAAGAAAAGTGACCAACCGCTACTCTCCCAAGCACCTGTTTTTTTATTTTTTATTATTTCATACCGCTTTCCTCACGCTTTCATCATGTGTTTCTTCATTATCTCATGCCGCTCCCGTCGCGCTTTCACCGCGCTCCAAGCCTCCCACAATGAATCAAACCATTTACTTGGGCACAAATTTTAAAAACTATTATCTTGTTTGGCAGCTTTGGCTGTACTAACTATTTTTGTCAGATATAACAAATAGTCATCGGATAATACTGATTAAATTAGTCGGACGTTTAGTATAATATCGGACTAATGACTGTATTATTTGCATTGTGTTTGCTATTATACCGGATAGGAAGAATCAAACTTAAAATAAAATTAAAAAAAAAAAAAACTGAAATCATCTCTTTTGTTCACCAGATCTCTCCGCCGCACCCCCCCCCCCAACTCCCTCCCTCTCTCTCCCTTCTTCCCCGACTAATTTCCGACTCCGAAGCTCTACAATCAACACCCACAGACTCAGTTTTCCTTCACTGCAATTTCAATCAAGAACCTCTCTGCAAATACACCATGTTTCTTTGCAAGACCCAGTTGTAGAAGAAGCCCAGAAACATATTAACTAAACCAAAATCCACAAACTACCAGAAGAATCATTGTCATCGATTCCTGTTCGTCGAAAAAACAAGAACAGAGGAAGGGCCAACGGTTCGACGCACGATTGGTGATTTTTTATTTTTTATTTTTTTATCTCCCCTTTGTTGCAGATTCAGAGGCAGTACTTTGTAACATATAGAATTGTAATAAATACAACCCCACAATTAGTGCTGCTATTTTGGGTCAATGGTGATTTGGCCAACGATGAAGAATAAAGGTAGGGGCAGAACCTGGGAAGAAGAAGAAAAATGAAAAGATGAACTGGGATTCAAATGAAGAAGAATTTGAGAAGATGAACTTGGGATTCAGACGAGAGAGCAAGAGTGTGTCTGGAGAAGAAGGAGAGAGCGAGAGATTTCAGCCCGACTAAATTGTACCGTAGTTTTGGATGGTATAAGCAAGCGGGTAAGGACAGTATAAAAAAGGTGGGTCTGGATTATTTAATCCGGTGACTATTTAATCCAAACAGACACCAAACGTCGTACTCCGTATTATTAGTAATATCCGATGCCTTATAAGATGTGCCAAACAGGGCCTATTTGTTTTCTAATATTTTCTTTCATCTCAGCAAAAATACAAGTATATAACGAAAATAATAACCTTCCCTTTTCAGTATATACTATATTAGTACATGTTAGTTCATTTGATATTGTCTTAATTTTTTTTTTTACTTACTTCAAAAAAAGGTTATTATCCATTCTTTACTTATAAATGATAAAAAGAAAAAATATACATCATGTGGAGAATGATTATTTTGATATTGTCTTTCCTAATTCTATTGGATAATGATGCTTAAGATTGTTGGATTAAAATTCCGAATTATCTTCAATTCCACTTGTTTCAACATGGAAGGGTTAGACAATTTTAAGTAAATTTATTATATAAATAAATTAGAGTAAAAAGAAAAAGAAAAGTAATAAAATAGTACCCAAAAAAAGCTTAAACAAATATTATAGAAATTGTCAAATTGATCTTGGTTAAATACCATGCAAACCATTCAAGCGGAAAAATCAAGCCAACCAAATAGATCGGGCCGTCCTATCGTATCCAAGCAAATCACCAAGTACAAGAATACTCTTCACCTACCATAACAACTATCACTGTTATTAACCACCATTTTCCAATTCAGACGACGACTAAATTAATTTGTTAGAAAAGCTACAAATACAAGTTTGAGATGTTGTAAATGTCAAGTCAAAAACATAATAATAACGCGTAGCACAGGAGTTAGGGGTGCTTGTTGTAGGTTTTTCGACAGGCCAAAAGTGTGGCTAATCGCTCATAAGCTTGATTTTCGACGACAGGAGGTGTGGCCGCACCTTCGCGTCTCTGTAGCTTTGCCAGTGCTTCATGGCAAGCCAAAAACATATTAACAACGTGTTGAGCAAGCCGCTTAATGGTTCAAACATAATCTATGCATCATGCCAAGTCAAAGACAAAATAAAATCACAAAATGTCAAGCAAGCTTCTCAATGGTTCAAACAATGTCCATGAAACATGCCAAGCTAAGAAATTAAGAATGAGGCATGACGAATTACAACATACCATGCAAACCATTGAAGCCGAAAAATCAACCCAACCAAATAGATCGTGCCATCCCATCCTATCCAAGCAATCACCAAGTACAAGACTACTCCTCACCTACCATAACAACTATCACTGTTACTAACCACCATTTTCCAATTCCATAGTGACCATATATCATTACAAACTGACCTTTTCTCAATCCATTGTGCCTGCTCCACAAATTGCCAAATTGTACTTACTATATATCATAAGAAAATTCATGACATTCACATATGCCAAGTTAGTGTACTTGTTTTATTAGAAAATCTGCTAGCCCTTTTGAAGCATATATACAAGCAAATATCTAGCCTACGAGTTTGCAATGTCAAACGTATAAGCCAATGCCAAACCTACGATATTAAGCCTACAAGCCAAAACCAAGCTACAAGCAATGCATAAGATAATCCAAAGCACCTAGTCCAAACAAGCCACTTATTGACCAATTTCTTTCAAAAATTCTCCAAACACTTTCGATTGAGTACCTTTTTATAATTCCTACAAAAAAAAAAGAACAAACACTACAAAATCATGGAGGTTAAGAATATAGTCCTTCACTATTGGAGATTGCATAAAAATTTGGAATTGCCATTTTGAGCACGAGTGACAAATTAACCTATTAGCGTTTTATATGTTTATTTCTATCTACACGTGTTCTTGGGAAATTCAGCAGAGACCTATTTGTGTCGTGAGCAATGATCCTTGTAATAACTAGTTTTTAGCAATATGCGTGCTTACATTTGCTAAAGTTTTTGACTTAAGGTGATGCACCGTTGTTTTGTGTTTTAGCCTTATCGACCATTTTATTTGTTGCAGGCAGAGATAGCCAGACAAGAAGCAAGGCTGAAAATAGAGAAAGAAAACCCGAAAAGGAGAAAAGTGTTCTGATGGGAACTGCATTGAATCAAGATAACCAAGATGGAGCACTTGAAATCACTGTCAGCGGTGAAAAGTATCGGTGTCTCAGGTTTGCAAAGGCAAAGAAATGAGGCATTTGAAGGGTGGGATAAAAAAAAAAGGAAAAAAAAAAAAGAAGCGGATAGCCTCGATTATATCTGATCTTTTACTTGCTTAATTTTGCAAACTTCATTCTTTGTATGAATGCTCCAATTGTGTATATCCTGGCATCCCATTGCAACAAGTTAGCGTTGTTATGATTGCTTTTTAACCTCAAAACCCCGATCCCCACATCTGATGAGCTGCATGATTGTTTAATTAATTCCTCCATAATTTGTAGTAACATGCTGCAACCTACATTGTTTCCTGATGAAGGTAGTTTGAGACAATCTTATTAGTAGAACTTTTTTTCATAACTTTGTATCGATCGGTTTTGATCTTGATTGTGTGATTTTGTTTGTGCTTAGTAAATGTCTCTGTTTGAACAAGAGATTTTATCATTTTGGTAAAAGTTCATTCTTGTACAATAAGAATATGAACCTTGCGTCACGTAAGGGTCTCGTAGAGTAAACGCGTTTGGTGGCTGGGACATGACGAGATTGCTAATTGTGAAACGCTATGCTCTAGCTCGTATTTGGTGAATGTATATTGTGTCTTACAAATTTCCTCTATGCGAATCTATAGGACTATATTGGGCTGCAGACAAAAAAAAAACCCCTAGAAAATAGGGAAAAACCAACTAAATCCATAGCATACCCACGTTCCTTGTTCTCCCCGAGATAATTTGCAGGTTGTCCACTTCAGTTTGGTTGTTCTGTTTTTTACAAGAATTAGTGGGTGTTACAGTCGCATGTTAAGGAGAAAGTATAGGGACAAATTACAAGAAGCCACCTAAGCATGGATTGATGGGAAGACAAGCCCATCTTGATTTAAGGTAACCGTTTGATGGGTTAATGGCCAATCAAACGGTTGACTAGTGATGTAGTGGGAGAGGGAGGGAGTTAACAACAGTTACTCTTCATCCAAAATCCCGCCCTTTTTCAATTACTTCGGAAGTTTTCTCCCACAAAACACTCACACTCACAACTCACAACTGCAAATTAGCATAACTCGAGTGAAAGAGAAGATCAATTGCTTCGTTCCGAAAAAATGGGCAATTCGAGCCTCGAGTTCTTGGACGTCAGACTGCTCTTTTTGCTGTCCATGTTTTGCATGGCAAGTGGTTTCGGTAGAGGAGTCAAAGCAGACGGAAGAAGCCTCTTGCAGCATCACGTGGCTAAGAGCTCTAATCTTTTCAACGTCAAGAGCTTCGGCGCCCGAGCAGATGGCCGAACTGATGACAGCGATGTTCGATCTCAGTTACTTGACTTGCTTCACATTACCCTCTTTTAACTTTTCACTTTTCTTCGAGACTCGAAAAAACCCTTTTTTATCGAACTTACTAGCTTCACAGTTCGGCATTTGGGTTTGTTTGATGTAGACATTGTAGTTTTTAGCTCTACATTTTTGTAATTTCAGGCATTCACAGCGGCATGGAAGGAGGCATGCCACTCCACAGGTAGAGTCCACCTTATAATACCGAAAGGAACTTACACGATCGGCCCTCTGAGATTCTCCGGCCCCTGCGTAAATGTTACGTCTCTGAATTTTCGTGTGAAGGCAAGAAGACTATTTTTCTATGATTTATGATCCCTATCTGCTACAGACTTTTATATGATTATTACATTTTTTATGACTGATTTTTAGAGTTGAATTGCTAGCAGGGTTACTTGAAGGCTACAACTGACTTGCGCAAGTATGGATCGGGTGGTGGTTGGATTGAATTCGCGTGGATGAAGGGGCTAACCTTGACCGGAGGTGGAACCTTTGATGGCCGAGGGGCTCATGCCTGGCCTCACAACAAGTGCGTCACCAACTCCAACTGCAAACTTCTTCCAACTGTATGCTCTACCGCTTCCTATCTGTCGTAAATTCTACATCAGTTTTATTTTAGCTAATTCAAAATCATTTTCTCTGTCTCAGAACTTGAAATTTGTGGCACTTAACAAGACAGTTATCCGCGGCTTAACTTCCGTGAACAGCAAGTTCTTTCACATAGCTCTTGTAGAATGTCACAACTTCAAAGGTAGCAGGCTCAAGATTTCAGCGCCGGAAACTAGCCCTAACACAGATGGAATCCACATCGAGCGAAGCTCTAGCGTCTACTTCTCTTCGTCGCGCATTGCTACTGGTGATGACTGCATCTCAGTTGGACAAGGAAACTCTCAGATCACCATAACAAGCATCACTTGTGGACCTGGTCATGGCATCAGGTGCGTACTTTTGAAATTTCTGGTGTCTTTGTTTGTGTAACGAAAGATTTATGGTACAATGCTAACTTTAACTAATTATATTTTTGCATCACAATTTTAGTGTGGGAAGTCTAGGAAAATATCCGGACGAAAGAGATGTCAGTGGACTCGTAGTGAAGGACTGCACCATGACAGGCACCGCCAATGGAATTAGGATCAAGACATGGGCTAACTCTCCAGGAAGCAGTGCTGCCACGAATATGACATTCGAAAACATTGTCATGAACAACGTGACTAATCCGATCATAATCGATCAGTCCTATTGTCCATTCACCGCTTGCACTTCTAAGGTAACCAAATTGCATGAGAGAAACTTCCATGAAACATGTTGCATACCTCTTTCCTTTATTTCTACTTTTGAGTTTTTCAGTTCGAATAAGATGCCATCGTGTAAAAACTGCAGGCACCATCTAGAGTGAAGCTGAGTGACATATACTTCAAGAACATAAGAGGAACTTCGTCGTCGGAGATGGCGGTTTTACTTGAATGCAGCAAAGGGATTCCATGCCAGAATATTTTCCTTGAAGATGTTCACTTGGATTTGTCATCCGGAGAGAAACTAGCCACTTCAAGTTGCAGTAATGTTAAAGCTAAATTTATTGGCACCCAAATCCCACCACCTTGTATTTAATAAGTTGCTTCTTACTTGTTATGGGTGGATTGAGTAATTTTAATGGTTTCCACTTAAAATTTGATGTTTGGACTTTAATTATGTTTCACAAGCACTGCAATTCCACGAAGATTTTAGAGTTTTTCTTTCATTGATGACTAATTAGAAATTTTCCTTAATGTTGTGTTTATCACGTTACTTTTGTTTTCCGTCGAAAAACGTCATAGATTGGTCATTATATGTTATTTGTAATTTTTTTTTTTAATGTTATTGATTATTTTTACTTTTCATAATGAGCACTAAATAAATTAGATATAGACGATTTGGTTGATTTAAACGACCTTCAAACAAGTCAAATCAAGCCATCTTAGTTGCAACTTGTATCGTACTTCGTTTGAAATTATATTTTATCAATATAAAATCGAACAAAATGGCTCTAATCAATTTGATTCGGGTTGTTTGAATGAACAAATGACTATATAAATAAACAAATAGACACAGATGAGTGATTTTCACATTCTTTTCTATCTGTGCATGCACAATTATTTGTAAAATTTAAACTGAAAACATCAAAATAAAAATGCATAGAGAAATAAATAAACAAGGATGCGTCGGAGAAGAAAAATGAGAACGGAGAAGAAAAATGAGAACGAAAATCATATTCCGAAAAAAAAATTAAAGAGGAAAGAACAGAAGATTCGCTTATAATATCCTCGTGTGTTATTTTCACTGGGCTCATATACACGCATTGTCGGGTTTTGTCCCGTTGCCGAGTGCATAAAAAGGGTCTCCGATTATTGCAAGAAGTGGAAATTCGAGAGAGAAGAAGATGGAGAGCGCATCAGAAATGGTGGCATTTCCACTGCTGACGACGCCGATCGAATCCAACTACAGAGCCTGCACCATCCCCTACAGATTTCCCTCCGACAACCCCCGCAAGCCCACGCCGACTGAGCTCTCCTGGATCGACCTTTTCTATAACTCCACCCCCTCCTTCAAGTAATCATCCTCATCCTCTCCCTAACCTCCATCATAAACCTTATTTTCTTCGGTTTTTCGTTAATGGGTTTGATTGGTTTTCGGCAGGAAACGAGCTGAGTCCGACGCTTCGGTTCCCGACGCTCCGGCCAGAGCTGAGAAATTTGCTCAAAGGTACATACTTTACTGATTGTTTTGCGATGAGTGAATTGGGTTTTCGGAAATGCCTGCAATCTGTTTGTGTTTTTGCCTGAAAGGTACACTGAGATACTGGAGGACTTGAAGAAGGATCCTGAGAGTCACGGCGGCCCGCCGGATTGCATTGTAAGCTCGAAATTTTGATTTGAGTTGTTTTTTCACTTTCTATTATGTTGTAGTCCTGATTTATCGCGGCATCGTTTTCTTAGCATTGAAGTTTCTTTCTCTTTTTTTTTCTGCTTTGTTTGGGAAATCCAGCTTCTTTGCAGACTTCGGGAGCAAGTTCTTAGGGAGTTGGGATTCCAAGATATATTCAAGAAAGTCAAGGTGGGTGCTTCTTAACTGTTATTGGACGCTTTATTAGTCCATTCATGTAGATAATTGATTGACTTGGAGTTCGGAATTGCGATCATGATTGAACTCTTCAGGATGAAGAGAATGCCAAGGCAATATCCCTGTTTGAGAATGTAGTGGATCTTAATGATGATATTGAAGATGAAGTCAAGCGGGTAGAGAATCTGATTAGAGGAATATTTGCCGGAAATATATTTGATCTTGGTTCTGCACAGGTACGTGATTTTTTGTTGTAGAACTAGTAAAAATTGTATACCCATCTACTTCGATTTGGTGGCATCAAACTGATTCTAAGGATTTGCATGATAAATTGGATTTTGTAACACAACTTCCTGTTATTAAAGCGATACTTCTTATTTCATTGAAAACTACTTGAAAGTTACCCTTTATTTATGTTCTTGAAGCTTGCAGAAGTTTTCTCAAAGGATGGTATGTCCTTTTTAGCTAGTTGTCAAAACCTTGTCCCTCGACCTTGGGTTATCGATGACTTGGATGCTTTCAAATTAAAATGGACCAAGAAATCTTGGAAAAAGGCAAGTTCCATTTCTAAATTGTAATAACTATCTCTTTAAGAATTTATGCCGTCGTAGGTTCTTCTTGTTCCCCACTTAGTGGGAAGGCTTTGTTGTTGTTGTAGATTATTCTTGTTGATTAACCACTTATCTCTTTGTCTTCACAGGCTGTTATTTTTGTAGACAATTCTGGTGCTGATATTATTTTGGGTATTTTGCCATTTGCCAGAGAGTTACTCCGGCGTGGGACACAGGTTTGCTGTCAAATCTTGTTTCATTTGTTCAATGCATCTGGTTCTTATGGTACAAACCCCAGAAGTTCTTCTAGTATTCCTTCTTTTTCTAAGAACATTATATGTATTCTTTTGCACGTGTTTGTAAAGTTGGTTCTCCCCGCCAAATAATAAAAGGCATGAAATATATAATGAGTGCTGATGCTTTTCCTTTTCCACAAATTTAAAATTGCTTTCATTACCACTCTTTAAATGAGTTGCCTTGGTGAGCCTATTTTCACATGATTACCTCTTTTTGTGCAGGTTGTGTTGGCAGCTAATGACTTGCCTTCTATCAATGACGTAACTTACACTGAACTGATTGAGATTATATCAAAGGTAACAGAAAATTTTAGAATATTGTTTACTTTAAGTTCTTGGTTTTCACATCATCTTTTCGAAAATGAAAAATCATGGTTGACACTTGAAACTGATAGTATAAGTGGCATTTACCAGTTGAAGGACAAAAACGGACAGCTCAAGGGTGTTGATACTTCAAAGCTTTTGATTGCTAATTCAGGCAATGATTTGCCGGTAATGGGGTTGAAGTTTTCATTTTGTTGTCATATCAAACTTGGAGTCCATTGTTGTTATAGTTGTATAACATTAGCCTCTTTGGCTTCTCAATTCCTCGTAGGTTATTGATCTTTCAAGAGTGTCACAAGAGCTTGCCCACCTGGCAAGTGATGCAGACCTAGTTATTTTGGAAGGCATGGTAAAAATCTAAAAACCTTCTTGGATTATTTCTGTCATTGGCTCTTAATTGAAATGTTGAACTGACTACTTAATGTCGAAGATGAAGTCATTTATGATGTATAATTGGAAGTGAAAGTGTATGAATACCGTATAAATTGGCATAAATGGTTGCCAAGAATGGTATATTGTGAGAGAGTTCTATAAGATTTGTTGAATATTTTGAGATGATGCAGTCTTGACTCTTCATTGTTTTAACATAACATAAATTTCTTTTGACAGGGTCGTGGGATAGAGACAAATCTTTATGCACAATTTAAGTGTGATTCCCTTAAGATTGGGATGGTAATGCTTCAACTCCAATTGTTGTTTGCTTCTAATGACTACTTCAGTTAATGAGCATTTCTTTTCGCGGTATACTAATCGTGTGCAACTTCTGTTTACTTCTCCTCTTCTTCATTCCAGGTGAAACATCCAGAGGTTGCCCAGTTTCTAGGAGGAAGGCTCTATGATTGCGTCTTCAAATACAACGAAGTTTTGTTGAGTTGATTATGTGGATTGTTGAGTAGATGAAGTATTAGGTCTTAGCTATTGCAAGAGCTTATATGTTTGAACTTCAAATGTCATCCCTCCTGATGAATAACCACAGTGACTATTAGGCGTGGTTACGATTATTATCCCATACACAGTTATGTTTTCAGGTGAAATTTGTGCATCTCTGCACATAATCAACCTATATGTACTGTAGTTTTGATATGAAATAAGAAATTTCTTTTCTTAATCAGCTGACCTGATAACATTGTGTTTAATTTGATACATGAAAGAGTGAAAAATACATGATAGAAGTGCTTTTACTATAAAAGCTTGTGTCACCAGGGACATCCAAATCAACAAATCAATTCTTTTTGGTAGGATATGAAGCCATCTTGTTAATGCCACAGATTCCTTCTGGTTTCCCTGTGCTCCTCTTCATCCTTATGTATCCCTTTTCTCCCCACTTTGGCCCCCATGAGTTCTTCACAATGATGTAATCTAACCCATTCTGAGTTCCATATCCGACGGCTGCTACACCGTGGTCTAGTTCAGTTCCACAACGCCCGTTGAAGACACCCTGCACAACCAACAATCCGTCCCATGCTTAGTAAATAATTAATGTGTTGTAGGCATTGATTAAATTGTGTATGAACATTAGCTCACCCCGCTATAGAACTGGAAATCTCTGCTGGAGGCCTCAATGGCTACGCTGAGAGGCTGGTTTGCCAATGCCTTGAGGAGAGCCTGCTCGTTGTTTTCTGGCACGTCATGGTAACCGGAGATGGTCACTAGGTCCGAGTCTGCCTGAGGATAACAAAATCAAATGTAAGATTAAGAACAGCAACGATCCGCTGACAGCTAAATTTTGATCTGAAAATATATGTTTTACCTTCTTTTCCGCACAAGTTCCTTCATCCATAATGTAGGGGTAATCATCCTCCTTGTGGAGGCCACCGTTGGAGATTATGAACTCGAATGCATAATCCATCAAGCCTCCACTGCAGCCATTGTTGAATGATTTGTCACAATCTATCAGCTGCTGCTCAGACAGAGATGTTAGTCTTCCTGTGACTATCTGGTTTATGCCCTCGACTGCAGCAACAGTGGAAAATGCCCAACAGCTACCTGCATTTTTACCATCATAACTCATTTTTTAGAGAGCGAGAGGGTAATTTGCACTCTACATCGACTGCTACTGATGAGCTAATCTCGCCTAATCCTCTTATGCTCATATAAAAAAGAGAGAGAGAGAGAGAGAGAGAGAGAGAGATTCACATACCACATGAACCTTGGTTCTTGATGGAGGTTACTGCTCCTTTCTTTCGCCAGTCCACAGATTGGGGCAATGCCACTACATCAAAATTGTGGTAACTGAAATCTCCAGTGGACTCTCTCCTTCTGGGGAACTCAGCCTTGAGACCCAAGTACTTGCTCTTGAACTCCTCATGGCTCAAGTCAGCAAACTCATTCACAGCAAGCCAGTAGCTATCAACATCGAGTTTCTTATTCCTCTCATCAATGTGCTTCACGTTATCTCTGAAGATCTCAAACCTATGCAGCTTCTCCTCCATGCTCTCATAAATCTTTCCGTGCTTCGATATCCACTTCTCAAAGAGCATGATGAACTTGTCCATGCAGGTCAGGTCCTCGGGAGAATATCCCACGATCGAGAACTCGTGAGCAAGAGCAGAACCGAGAAAGAGAGGCACAAGGAAGGCAAGAAGCAAAATCTTCGAAAAAGCCATTTTTCGGGAGGGGAGAATGAGAGAGGTAAAGAGAGGAAGAGATGAATGGATGAATGTGAAGGAGGGAGGGGAGGGAGTGGATTTATGTAGTGTTCGATATTGTGATGAGGTTGCTTTCGAGTGAAGAGGTTGGAGTTTTTTTCTACGAACACTGAGTCTTTACGGTTGGTTCTTTTGGGCAGGCTTTTGTCCCAAGCATGCTCATTTGTTTAAGCATAAGCCTTCAAGGAAATATGATTTCACTTACATGGGTGAGAGTTGCTTGCTAGCCGCCCTTGGTCTCTAAACAAAGCTATGATCTACATTCATTTCTCATAGTCCCTGTTTTTACTCGATTTGCGATAGTACCCGTACAATGGTTAATATTACGAGAAACACTTTGATAATCAAACTACATATAAAAAAATAAAAAAATAAAAAAATCCTCACTTACTAACAGTTAATGTTAGGCGAAATAACAGTTTGAGTTAAGTCCAACGCTCGTAAATGTTACAAGCTTTTTTTCCCAATTGTTTTTTTGGTCAATTATTTTCTGAAGTGGTTGGAATTATACACCATTTTTTACTGTTGTCCAAGATCAAACTTGAAGCTTTAGACTCTTGTTGAATCCTTGACGTTTAGTCATGAGGATCTCTCACCTTGTGAAGAATGAGTGAGGAGGAGGTTGTTCTATGTCACAATTTGCTAGTTGGTAACTGTCCAATTCTTTATTTTTCAATTTTGATAATTACCTTTTTTTCAAGTTGGTTACAACAGCAGCAATCACAACGAAAGGCAAATATCGATCCATGAAATTCTACAAGAAATTTGAAGTATCGAAAACTAGAACCTTGAACTCACTAATATTGAACGAATTGAACACAAATTACAGGATACGAGTATGTTCCTTGTCAACCTAATCTGAATTTTGAGTAAGTATTCAAGACAATTTGAATAGAGCAAAGACAAGAATATCTGCGTAACATAATCCTTTACACTGACCCTAGAACTAGGCAGAGATGGCGAAATGAGGTCGTCATTACCGAACCTTCCCAATTGAATGCAGATAAACCGCAACCGAGACAACGCTGGAAACAAGAAAAAAGCATAGATCAACTATTGTATTTCTCAAGACGGCAAAATTGACGTTTGCCTTACTTTTATTGTGAAAAATGGAAACAATTAGATGAATGATGGTTTAGAAAATATCAATTAGACTACAAACACCTACAGTCCACTCATTTTATACCAAATTGTCAAAAATATATTTTGACGAGTTGATAATGGCCAAGCCACTCCCAACCCAATGCATATGTCATGTCACATGATGACAGAATTGAATGGGTCTCTATGACTCAACTAATTGACGATAAAAGTATAGAACGTAGATGATTCGTGTGAGCTGAGGAAACTTACGTTGAGCCGAGGAAAAAGGCGAGGGATAGGTGAAAGCCAAATAGAAACACAGAAACAACTGCTGTAAGAAGCATTGCCACTGAAGTAGAATACACCTGCAGAAAGTAGCTAAATTAAGATCGGAATTTCGTACAATGCCACGAAATGTTCAAGGTGAAATTCCAACAAATATCTAATAATTTTAAAACCCAATATACGTGAAATGTATATTAACACATGACGATGCACAAGTAGGAAACGTTCAAGGTCCAATTCCAACAAATGTAAATAATTTTTAAACCCAATACAGTGAAATGCATATTAACACATGAAGATGCACAAGTAGGCCATTACAAAAATTTAAAAGACAGCAGTCCCTAAAACCCCTCCACTTCCCGTTATTTCACTTTTTCACATAAGTAAATCAAATTAAATGAAATAATTTGGTAAAAGTATGCCTAGGGATAATTGTAGTACATTATAAAGAAGTATGAAAAAGTACTTTAGTGAATGCTTCCTCAAAATCAAAGTTGTAATTCCATGTCTTACCTTCACAATATTATCAGCATACTTCATAACCATAGACACAGCAATACCACTGCAAAGGAAACAAATATAAGCAATCGAATAGAAGTACGTAGGGCAAATGAGAGGGAATATGCATAACAAGCAAAAAGCTACTGATAAACTGATAAGCCAAAGAGGATACATATGTACCTGAGTGCATGGTTGAAAATCATGAGAACTGTAATAAAAGAGTATCCGTGGAAGAATCCCCTGAATTTAGAAGAACAGCTGATAAATATAATAATCCAGATATAATTTTTAAAAACTGGTAGGCAGAAACACATTTTCAAAGGCAGGAACTTTTAGCAATGAAGACAAAAATAACTGGTAGCAATGGACCCAACAAAAGAGAATAATCATAAATGGGAAAAAGATTAAATTACTTGTTCATCACTGCATCAAAATCTTGAACCACTATAGCAACAGCATTGAAGGCCATTCCAAAGACGTACATCCAGAAGTTCTGCACATTTATATTCCTTGCAGGACGCTTTTTCATTATGGCCTACCAATATTATACGAAATATTTAGTCAACCAGAGTGTTCTAAAAGCCATTAGCGACAAATCTAAACCCAAATTTTGATAAAGTTGAGTATGCTGGGTAAACTATTTGCACATTATGTGATGCTTTAAGCATGAAGCGGAGAACAAGCTGTTTGCTTAAAAAGTCACCTCGGTGTATACTCCTGCAAAACCACTTAAAAGTGCCATCACCTGGTACGAAAACAAACATGGCAAGCTTTAAAGGGGGGAAAATATAAAATAAACAAATCAGATTAAGACTCTCAAAATGTTAAGAACTCACAATGGCCATCACCCAGCCTTGGAATGGAGTTTGGAGAACACTGTCCGATCTGCAAACAGAATTCCATTTTAACAAACGTATTGAGCTAACTCAAGCAGAAACTTATATAAAATAACAATTAAAAAGAGGTGAACAGAGTCCTCTACACTTTGAGTTTCAAACATAAGGAATCACAATATCGGCAGACGAGTTAACTTTTTAACCTAGAGGAAATATGCGGGAAATTAATGACTTGAGTTCCTCCAGGAATTTAATAAAGTTAACTTGCTATCATCGACATGGGGTGCACCATGGATCAATCACGCAATAACAGCAGTCTGATGAGAGACAAACTCGGCATAAATTCAATCAGACACTGAATAGAAAAATATGGTAGTGAACACACTTACTTTGGGTTTAGTTGTGCTGTAGTGCACCCTGCACATAGTATAATGAAAGCGGCCCATTGGATCTCACTTAACCTGCAGTAAATACAGGTAGAAACAAAAGTTCATAAGAACTGTACCTTCAGCCAACAGTATATAGCAGCACACAAATAGGCAGCTTAGCTTCGTCATATTTACTTACTTTCTCTTGAGTATGATTCTGTACAAAATTCCAGTGCTGATAATGTTGAAATTCTTCAGTATTTGATAACCCGGAGCATCCACATACGCAAAGATATAATACTGCCACATACAAATGAGCACTAGATGCAATCACACATCAGAAAGTAAAAAGACGTAATTTACTGAAGCAAACAGAAAACATACAACAGCAACCAACCTGAAGCAGATTCTTGACTAGGTAAAGAAATGCCGGAATGGGATATACAATAACTTCATCCAGTTTTGCACTCAACCTAATTCAAAGGCAGAATACAATCATGTAACTTGGGGTTTAAATCTCTTCACGTCGCCTAGCATATAGTCAATCCTCAAACCCAAAACATTATACAACGAACAGAATCAAGTTCTCCCATAACATTACTATACTTCAGCAACAATGAACAACTTTCAAACCCATAAAAAGTTGCAATGCAAAACCTGTTATCTTCAGTAACACCCTCATTCCTCCAGATTCGTGCCAAAGCAGCGAGCGATATTGCACACTTCAAAGCCTCCACCTAATTCCCAAAACACAACACATTTCAAGTCACGCGAAAACCGACATTACAAGTCATAAATTTCTGAATTTTAATCTATAATGTAGCTTCATCAGCCTCACTACTCACCGAGAAATTTGCAGTGGTGACACTATACTCATACTTGCCGGCCCGCTTCGACCACACAATCAATATTGCTTGTGAACTGGTCAAAACGGTCAAAGCTATAGTAACAGCCGACCTATTCCAATCAACCCAAAACCATTAATCAAGTTAAATTAAATTAAAAAAAATAACAAATTTCAATCAATTGGAACAAAATAGCAAAAGTTGGGCATACTTCAGCTTCCACTTGGAGAGCTCCACTGGGCTGATGGCAGGAATTGGCTTGCCCCGCAAGCTTTCGAGGTCTCCGGGGGCTGAAGATTCGTCTTGATCCTGCAATTAGATCAGATGGGTATTGAAAACGGGTGAAAATTTGAGGATTGTATGAAGAAATCTGGTAATTCATATGGGAAATACCTGATCTTTGAGCTTCCTGTACTCCATTGTTACGCTCTGTTGATATTCTTTGTGTAAATTTTGGTGCTTTCAGATCCCTAGAGCCATTGGAGGACACTGGGCTCTGAGAATTTGGTACCACAGAGTGAGCTACAAACAAGAAGAAAACCGACCGGGACGACGTCGTTGTCGCATGCTCTTTCCTCCTTGGTCCGAACTCGCTAATGGGCCTTGTTTTCTTCTGGCCTGCTATTACTTGGCCATGCTAAAATCCATATTCTGATAGGGCAAATGAATGACCTAAGCCCAATAAGAAAACTTCACACTCCTGTTTTATTTCTGTAATTCCCGTTGATTAATTAAAATTCAAAAATAAATAAGAATGTGTAACAGGTAAAATTTGTGTATGCAAATCGCCTATCTTTATCTAAGGAGGCTTCTATATGCATTCAAACATCATCTAATGTTTAGGATTGACTGGAATATGACAACTTACTAAGGCTTTGTTTGATATAAGGATTTCATTGGATTGGATTGAATTAGATTAGATAACCCTCTAAATTCATGGTATATTAAAGTTAGAATATAATAATTTTTCATTCATAGTGGATTAGAAGAGGATCGGAAAAGAAACTTTTCCCTTCTCATCCTATAATTCTGGAAGGATGATTAGAATTTGTAAGTTTTCTTTTTGAGCAATTCATCTCCCACATCTAAGTTGGTCTAATTTTTTCA